CACTCTGGCTGCGTCATCACGCCCCCGTCACTCTGGCTGCGTCATCACGCCCCCGTCACTTTGGCTGCGTCATCACGCCCGTCACTCTGGCAGCGTCATCACGCCCCCGTCACTCTGGCTGCGTCATCACGCCCGTCACTCTGGCAGCGTCATCACGCCCCCGTCACTCTGGCAGCGTCATCACGCCCCCGTCACTCTGGCAGCGTCATCACGCCCCCGTCACTCTGGCAGCGTCATCACGCCCCCGTCACTCTGGCTGCGTCATCACGCCCGTCACTCTGTCAGCGTCATCACGCCCCCGTCACTCTGGCAGCGTCATCACGCCCCCGTCACTCTGGCAGCGTCATCACGCCCCCGTCACTCTGGCAGCGTCATCACGCCCCCGTCACTCTGGCAGCGTCATCACGCCCGTCACTCTGGCAGCGTCATCACGCCCCCGTCACTCTGGCTGCGTCATCACGCCCCCGTCACTCTGGCAGCGTCATCACGCCCCCGTCACTCTGGCTGCGTCATCACGCCCCCGTCACTCTGGCAGCGTCATCACGCCTCCGTCACTCTGGCAGCGTCATCACGCCCGTCACTCTGGCAGCGTCATCACGCCCCCGTCACTCTGGCTGCGTCATCACGCCCGTCACTCTGGCAGCGTCATCACGCCCCCGTCACTCTGGCTGCGTCATCACGCCCGTCACTCTGGCTGCGTCATCACGCCCCCGTCACTCTGGCAGCGTCATCACGCCCCCGTCACTCTGGCAGCGTCATCACGCCCCCGTCACTCTGGCAGCGTCATCACCCCCGTCACTCTGGCTGTGTCATCACGCCCGTCACTCTGGCTGTGTCATCACGCCCGTCACTCTGGCAGCGTCATCACGCCCGTCACTCTGGCAGCGTCATCACGCCCCCATCACTCTGGCAGCGTCATCACGCCCCCGTCACTCTGGCTGTGTCATCACGCCCGTCACTCTGGCAGCGTCATCACGCCCCCGTCACTCTGGCTGCGTCATCACGCCCCCGTCACTCTGGCTGCGTCATCACGCCCGTCACTCTGGCAGCGTCATCACGCCCCCATCACTCTGGCAGCGTCATCCCGCCCGTCACTCTGGCAGCGTCTTCACGCCCCCGTCACTCTGGCAGCGTCATCACGCGCCCGTCACTCTGGCAGCGTCATCACGCCCCCGTCACTCTGGCTGCGTCATCACGCCCCCGTCACTCTGGCTGCGTCATCACGCCCCCGTCACTTTGGCTGCGTCATCACGCCCGTCACTCTGGCAGCGTCATCACGCCCCCGTCACTCTGGCTGCGTCATCACGCCCGTCACTCTGGCAGCGTCATCACGCCCCCGTCACTCTGGCAGCGTCATCACGCCCCCGTCACTCTGGCAGCGTCATCACGCCCCCGTCACTCTGGCAGCGTCATCACGCCCCCGTCACTCTGGCTGCGTCATCACGCCCGTCACTCTGTCAGCGTCATCACGCCCCCGTCACTCTGGCAGCGTCATCACGCCCCCGTCACTCTGGCAGCGTCATCACGCCCCCGTCACTCTGGCAGCGTCATCACGCCCCCGTCACTCTGGCAGCGTCATCACGCCCGTCACTCTGGCAGCGTCATCACGCCCCCGTCACTCTGGCTGCGTCATCACGCCCCCGTCACTCTGGCAGCGTCATCACGCCCCCGTCACTCTGGCTGCGTCATCACGCCCCCGTCACTCTGGCAGCGTCATCACGCCTCCGTCACTCTGGCAGCGTCATCACGCCCGTCACTCTGGCAGCGTCATCACGCCCCCGTCACTCTGGCTGCGTCATCACGCCCGTCACTCTGGCAGCGTCATCACGCCCCCGTCACTCTGGCTGCGTCATCACGCCCGTCACTCTGGCTGCGTCATCACGCCCCCGTCACTCTGGCAGCGTCATCACGCCCCCGTCACTCTGGCAGCGTCATCACGCCCCCGTCACTCTGGCAGCGTCATCACGCCCGTCACTCTGGCTGTGTCATCACGCCCGTCACTCTGGCTGTGTCATCACGCCCGTCACTCTGGCAGCGTCATCACGCCCGTCACTCTGGCAGCGTCATCACGCCCCCATCACTCTGGCAGCGTCATCACGCCCCCGTCACTCTGGCTGTGTCATCACGCCCGTCACTCTGGCAGCGTCATCACGCCCCTGTCACTCTGGCTGTGTCATCACGCCCCCGTCACTCTGGCAGCGTCATCACGCCCCCGTCACTCTGGCAGCGTCATCACGCCCGTCACTCTGGCTGTGTCATCACGCCCGTCACTCTGGCTGTGTCATCACGCCCGTCACTCTGGCAGCGTCATCACGCCCGTCACTCTGGCTGTGTCATCACGCCCGTCACTCTGGCAGCGTCATCACGCCCGTCACTCTGGCTGTGTCATCACGCCCGTCACTCTGGCAGCGTCATCACGCCCGTCACTCTGGCAGCGTCATCACGCCCCCATCACTCTGGCAGCGTCATCACGCCCCCGTCACTCTGGCTGTGTCATCACGCCCCCGTCACTCTGGCAGCGTCATCACGCCCCCGTCACTCTGGCTGCGTCATCACGCCCGTCACTCTGGCAGCGTCATCACGCCCCCGTCACTCTAGCTGCGTCATCACGCCCGTCACTCTGGCAGCGTCATCACGCCCCCGTCACTCTGGCTGCGTCATCACGCCCGTCACTCTGGCAGCGTCATCACGCCCCCGTCACTCTGGCAGCGTCATCACGCCCCCGTCACTCTGGCAGCGTCATCACACCCCCGTCACTCTGGCAGCGTCATCACGCCCCCGTCACTCTGGCTGCGTCATCACGCCCGTCACTCTGGCAGCGTCATCACGCCCCTGTCACTCTGGCAGCGTCATCACGCCCCCGTCACTCTGGCAGCGTCATCACGCCCGTCACTCTGGCAGCGTCATCACGCCCCGTCACTCTGGCTGCGTCATCACGCCCCCGTCACTCTGGCAGCGTCATCACGCCCCCGTCACTCTGGCTGCGTCATCACGCCCCCGTCACTCTGGCAGCGTCATCACGCCTCCGTCACTCTGGCAGCGTCATCACGCCCGTCACTCTGGCAGCGTCATCACGCCCCCGTCACTCTGGCTGCGTCATCACGCCCGTCACTCTGGCAGCGTCATCACGCCCCCGTCACTCTGGCAGCGTCATCACGCCCGTCACTCTGGCTGCGTCATCACGCCCCCGTCACTCTGGCAGCGTCATCACGCCCCCGTCACTCTGGCAGCGTCATCACGCCCCCGTCACTCTGGCTGTGTCATCACGCCCGTCACTCTGGCTGTGTCATCACGCCCGTCACTCTGGCAGCGTCATCACGCCCGTCACTCTGGCTGTGTCATCACGCCCGTCACTCTGGCAGCGTCATCACGCCCGTCACTCTGGCTGTGTCATCACGCCCGTCACTCTGGCAGCGTCATCACGCCCGTCACTCTGGCTGTGTCATCACGCCCGTCACTCTGGCTGCGTCATCACGCCCGTCACTCTGGCTGTGTCATCACGCCCGTCACTCTGGCAGCGTCATCACGCCCGTCACTCTGGCAGCGTCATCACGCCCCCATCACTCTGGCAGCGTCATCACGCCCCCGTCACTCTGGCAGCGGCATCACGCCCCCGTCACTCTGGCAGCGTCATCACGCCCGTCACTCTGGCAGCGTCATCACGCCCCCGTCACTCTGGCAGCGTCATCACGCCCGTCACTCTGGCAGCGTCATCACGCCCCCGTCACTCTGGCAGCGTCATCACGCCCCCGTCACTCTGGCAGCGTCATCACGCCCCCGTCACTCTGGCAGCGTCATCACGCCCCCGTCACTCTGGCAGCGTCATCACGCCCCCGTCACTCTGGCTGCGTCATCACGCCCGTCACTCCTCGTCAGCTACACACCAGACCGGCTATCACGAGGCAATGAAACCGATGTGAATTTTATTGTGGGTCGGAATATTCGGCGTCGCGGCTCCACAGCCTCCCTCCTTCCCTCTCTGTCTTCCTCCTTCCCTCTTGGAGTCCCAGGGGGAAGGAGGGAGGCCCCACGGAGTGCCTCCATCACCCCATCTCCTACGGTGATGATGAGTGCCTCCTCATCACTCAGGACCGAAGTCACCGCCAGCGGAGGTGTACCCACAAACAACTCTACACTTCAGGGTGTAGAGTGGTTCCACACTCCAGGGTGTAGAGTGGTTCTACACTCCAGGGTGTAGAGTGGTTCTACACTCCAGGGTGTAGAGTGGTTCCACACTCCAGGGTGTAGAGTGGTTCTACACTCCAGGGTGTAGAGTGGTTCCACACTCCAGGGTGTAGAGTGGTTCCACACTCCAGGGTGTAGAGTGGTTCTACACTCCAGGGTGTAGAGTGGTTCTACACTCCAGGGTGTAGAGTGGTTCCACACTCCAGGGTGTAGAGTGGTTCCACACTCCAGGGTGTAGAGTGGTTCCACACTGCAGGTTCTCCCGACGACCGGAGTCGTGCCCAGAGAACGTGACTTGAAGGCGCGACTCCTCGGAGTCTACCAGCGCTCCGAAGGAGAAATTGCAGCAGCCATTGACAAGGCAACATTAGTGGGGCCAGTTGACGTCACATGGTAACGAGGCCATGGTAACGAGGCCATGGTAACGAGGCCATGGTAACCAACCGGGCTGTGGTGGGTATGTGGGCCTGCGGGCCGCTCCAAGCAACAGCCTGGTGGACCAAACTCTCACAAGTCAAGCCTGGCCTCGGGCCGGGCTTGGGGAGTAGAAGAACTCCCAGAACCCCATCAACCAGGTATCAACCAGGTAACGAGGCCATGGTAACGAGGCCATGGTAACGAGGCCATGGTAACTAGGCCATGGTAACGAGGCCATGGTAACGAGGCCATGGTAACGAGGCCAGGGTAACGAGGCAACAGCAGCGGACTACAGAACATCCGGAACGCCCAACTACCGGAGGCCAAACTACCAATTCCTCCTCCCAGACAAACCACTGCCCGGAAAAACTATATTTGTGAGTAGTGTGAACCGCTGGTTAGCGGGTGAGGCGTCCCAGAGTGAGGCGAGCAACCGGAGACGACCCGACTGTGACGTAGACGACCCGACTGTGACGTAGACGACCCGACTGTGACGTAGACGACCCGACTGTGACGTAGACGACCCGACTGTGACGTAGACGACCAGACTGTGACGTAGACGACCCGACTGTGACGTAGACGACCCGACTGTGACGTAGACGACCCGACTGTGACGTAGACGACCCGACTGTGACGTAGACGACCCGACTGTGACGTAGACGACCCGACTGTGACGTAGACGACCCGACTGTGACGTAGACGACCCGACTGTGACGTAGACGACCCGACTGTGACGTAGACGACCCGACTGTGACGTAGACGACCCGACTGTGACGTAGACGACCGGACTGTGACGTAGACGACCGGACTGTGACGTAGACGACCCGACTGTGACGTAGACGACCCGACTGTGACGTACACGACCCGACTGTGACGTAGACGACCCGACTGTGACGTAGACGACCCGACTGTGACGTAGACGACCCGACTGTGACGTAGACGACCCGACTGTGACGTACACGACCCGACTGTGACGTAGACGACCCGACTGTGACGTACACGACCCGACTGTGACGTACACGACCCGACTGTGACGTAGACGACAACCCTGGTCCTGAAGGTGACTACAGCTGCCCGCGGTCAAGATGACCTTCACAACAGCTGAACAGGACCAGGAACCTGTGAAGGTGCTTCAAGTGCTTCATGAACACTTCTCAAACAAGTGCCCAGAACAAACGGTTAAGTGTAGCTCATGCTCCGACACTCTCAACAGTGTAGCTCATGCTCCGACACTCTCAACAGTGTAGCTCATGCTCCGACACTCTCAACAGTGTAGCTCATGCTCCGACACTCTCAACAGTGTAGCTCATGCTCCGACACTCTGAACAGTGTAGCTCATGCTCCGACACTCTGAACAGTGTAGCTCATGCTCCGACACTCTCAACAGTGTAGCTCATGCTCCGACACTCTCAACAGTGTAGCTCATGCTCCGACACTCTCAACAGTGTAGCTCATGCTCCGACACTCTCAACAGTGTAGCTCATGCCCCGACACTCTCAACAGTGTAGCTCATGCTCCGAAACTCTCAACAGTGTAGCTCATGCTCCGACACTCACAACAGTGTAGCTCATGCTCCGACACTCTCAACTGTGTAGCTCATGCTCCGACACTCACAACAGTGTAGCTCATGCTCCGACACTCTCAACTGTGTAGCTCATGCTCCGACACTCTCAACAGTGTAGCTCAAGCTCCGACACTCACAACAGTGTAGCTCATGCTCCGACACTCACAACAGTGTAGCTCATGCTCCGACACTCTCAACTGTGTAGCTCATGCTCCGACACTCTCAACAGTGTAGCTCATGCTCCGACACTCACAACAGTGTAGCTCATGCTCCGACACTCTCAACAGTGTAGCTCATGCTCCGACACTCACAACAGTGTAGCTCATGCTCCGACACTCTCAACAGTGTAGCTCATGCTCCGACACTCTCAACAGTGTAGCTCATGCTCCGACACTCTCAACAGTGTAGCTCATGCTCCGACACTCACAACAGTGTAGCTCATGCTCCGACACTCACAACAGTGTAGCTCATGCTCCGACACTCTCAACAGTGTAGCTCATGCTCCGACACTCTCAACAGTGTAGCTCATGCTCCGACACTCTGAACAGTGTAGCTCATGCTCCGACACTCACAACAGTGTAGCTCATGCTCCGACACTCACAACAGTGTAGCTCATGCTCCGACACTCTCAACAGTGTAGCTCATGCTCCGACACTCTGAACAGTGTAGCTCATGCTCCGACACTCACAACAGTGTAGCTCATGCTCCGACACTCTCAACAGTGTAGCTCATGCTCCGACACTCTCAACAGTGTAGCTCATGCTCCGACACTCTCAACAGTGTAGCTCATGCTCCGACACTCACAACAGTGTAGCTCATGCTCCGACACTCTCAACAGTGTAGCTCATGCTCCGACACTCTCAACAGTGTAGCTCATGCTCCGACACTCACAACAGTGTAGCTCATGCTCCGACACTCACAACAGGGCAGCTCATGCTCCGACACTCTCAACAGTGTAGCTCATGCTCCGACACTCTCAACAGTGTAGCTCATGCTCCGACACTCTCAACAGTGTAGCTCATGCTCCGACACTCTCAACAGTGTAGCTCATGCTCCGACACTCACAACAGTGCAGCTCATGCTCCGGCACTCTTAACAGTGTAGCTCACGCTCCGACACTCACAACAGTGCAGCTGATGCTCCGACACTCACAACAGTGCAGCTGATGCTCCGACACTCACAATAGTGCAGCTGATGCTCCGACACTCACAATAGTGCAGCTGATGCTCCGACACTCACAATAGTGCAGCTCATGCTCCGACACTCTTAACAGTGTAGCTCATGCTCCGACACTCACAATAGTGCAGCTCATGCTCCGACACTCACAACAGTGCAGCTGATGCTCCGACACTCACAATAGTGCAGCTCATGCTCCGACACTCTTAACAGTGTAGCTCATGCTCCGGCACTCTTAACAGTGTAGCTCATGCTCCGACACTCTCAACAGTGTAGCTCATGCTCCGACACTCTCAACAGTGCAGCTTATGCTCCGACACTCTCAACAGTGTAGCTCATGCTCCGACACTCTCAACAGTGCAGCTCATGCTCCGACACTCTCAACAGTGTAGCTCATGCTCCGACACTCACAATAGTGCAGCTCATGCTCCGACACTCTTAACAGTGTAGCTCATGCTCCGGCACTCTTAACAGTGTAGCTCATGCTCCGACACTCTCAACAGTGCAGCTCATGCTCCGACACTCTTAACAGTGTAGCTCATGCTCCGGCACTCTTAACAGTGTAGCTCATGCTCCGACACTCTCAACAGTGCAGCTCATGCTCCGACACTCTCTACAGTGTAGCTCATGTTCCGGCACTCTCAACAGTGTAGCTCATGCTCCGACACTCAACAGTGTAGCTCATGCTCCGACACTCTCAACAGTGCAGCTCATGCTCCGACACTCACAACAGTGGAGCTCATGCTCCGACACTCTGAACAGTGTAGCTCATGCTCCGACACTCTCAACAGTGTAGCTCATGCTCCGACACTCAACACTGTAGCTCATGCTCCGACACTCTCAACAGTGCAGCTTATGCTCCGACACTCTCAACAGTGTAGCTCATGCTCCGACACTCACAACAGTGGAGCTCATGCTCCGACACTCTGAACAGTGTAGCTCATGCTCCGACACTCTCAACAGTGTAGCTCATGCTCCGGCACTCTTAACAGTGTAGCTCATGCTCCGACACTCTCAACAGTGTAGCTCATGCTCCGACACTCTCAACAGTGCAGCTTATGCTCCGACACTCTCAACAGTGTAGCTCATGCTCCGACACTCACAACAGTGGAGCTCATGCTCCGACACTCTGAACAGTGTAGCTCATGCTCCGACACTCACAACAGTGTAGCTCATGCTCCGACACTCAACAGTGTAGCTCATGCTCCGACACTCTCAACAGTGTAGCTCATGCTCCGACACTCACAACAGTGTAGCTCATGCTCCGACACTCTCAACAGTAGCTGCTCCTGCAGAGGATGGTATTACTTACAGTCTACTGAGATTAGTCTCACACTTACCAGGTAATCCACTATTAGTGTTGTACAGAATGAGTTTACGTGAAGGAGTATTACCTGATGCTTGGACAAAGAGCGTCATTGTTCCCATCCTCAAACCACACTCAGATAATTATAGACCCATATCTCTAACATCGTGTGTCTGTAAAGTGCTTGAACGTATTGTTCTTAACCGACTCATGTATCGTATACAGGAGCACCTGTCACCCCAACTGTTTGGATTTATGCCTGGGCTCAGTACACAACACTGTTTTGCTGAGTACTTCGCACATATTGAAGCTTCCCCTCAAACAGTCTTCATCGACCTAGCAGCAGCTTTTGATGCAGCAAACAGAGAAATCATACTGGAACAGCTTGCTGAGCTGGGAATACAAGGAAAATTACTGAAATGGATAAAGGGTTATTTGTCTAATCGAACAGCATATGTTTTGTTTAATGGTGTTAAAAGCACAGAGAGCAAACACTTTGAACTGGTAACTCCACAAGGAGGGGGTCCTCAGTCCCTTGTTGTTCAACGTTCTGATGCATAAACTTATTAAAGATCTTCCAACTAATAATGAAGACACTGTCATTTGTTATGTTGATAATATATGTTTACAGGCTACCACCGAGCCTAGAATGCAAGTTCTGCTCGACGCTTTTGCTACTAGAGCTGAGGAATGTGGCCTCCTTATCTTTGTACAGAAAACTCGTGCCCTCATTCCATGTGGTATTCCACCAGCCAATTATCATATAGATGGGCGAGCACTTGAGAACTGCGAGTCTTACAGATACCTTGGTGTCCCCATTAACGACCCTGGGTACCTTTCTTCTCTCAAGAGGAGACTTTGGGAGAGATTAAAGCCCTTGCGGGTCCTTGTTGGTGTCAATCATGGACTTAACGTGAGACTTGCTAGAATGTTTTATGTATCATTTATACGCTCTGTGATTGACTACAATGCTCTACATCTCACACTGTATACTGACAAAGAGCTGAAATCTCTTGAAACCTTGCAAAATGAAGCTATGCGTCTCATCCTTGGGGCTTCAAAGTCCACGAGAATAGTTAATATGAGAGAAGAGTTAAAACTACCTACCATAAGTGAGAGAATTTTGTCTATTATCACAGCTTTCGGCGTGAAGGCATTGAGTAGATCTAGACAACACATGAAGTTTCAAGCTAAACTTTCTAATATGCTGCACTCACCTGAGGTCTATAGAAGAAGAACGAAATCTGATTATGTATATTGGTTCTACAAGGTAGCCAACTCCATCAAAATATTGAATATGTACCCAACTCAATTAATGATTAATCAACCAATTACTCCATGATATAAGTGGGATCTATCAGTTGATTTTGTAAATGCGCCCAAGAAAGATAGTGTGCACTCTACATTATTAAAACAGTTAACACTGAAAAGCATCACTGAAAGTACTCAGAGTATGGGGTAACGATGTTTATCAGTGCTATACCGACGGCTCTGTAGAAGAAGGTGGACGATGTACCGGATGTGTATGTAACATATTTGAACAATCTTCTCTCGTACATACAGCAATGAAGCGCGTCAATGACTGGGCAAGTACAACTCAAACCGAACTTGCAGGCATATACCTTGCCACTGAATTTTTAAAAGACAAAGGCAGTGGACTTATATACTGTGACTCGCAGAGTGCACTCCTGGCATTGAACGCACATAGTAGTGACACCCAGAAAATAGTCAGTGATATTCGAATGAATGTTTTAGCTGCTAAAGAAAACACATTTGAAATTAAATTCCTATGGATACCATCACATGTTGGTATCTCAAGGCATGACACTGTTGATATGCTTGCAAAGACAGCCTGCAGAAAACCAGTGGTAGAAATTGATATGGGTGTTTCATTAGCAGTGACAAAGAGAATACTTAAACAAATATCTAATGAAGATCTCACCGACCTAACAAATTCACAAAGACCTGAAAGTTGTAGCATT